TCGCACCCTTCAGCATTGTCTTTGTCGACCAAGATTTTCAATTCAGCTGTTTGTTTTGCAGTGACTCCTGTAACAGCATATACCTGATTTGGCACACTTTGAACCTTTTGATAAACCATTGCCTTCTCTTTGAGTTTCTGTGGCTTGTCCTTTGACAGGCAAAGCGTATTCAACCGAGTTTTCAGAAATGAGGGGTTTCTCATTCTCGGTTTCGCTCTTCATATACTCAGAACAATCAACCACGTCTTCTACCGAGATTTCGCTCATCTCACTTTCCTCATCAAATTCAGACGTATTTTCTATATTCATTTTATGTTCTGAAATTAATTTGGCGTTAGACGAGTCAAAAGATTGAATAGTTTCGGACTTAATTTTTAACCTATCATTTTCATCTAAAAGATTTTTGAGCATACACTTATGTTCCTTAGAGTCAATGAAGGTCTCTATCTTGTCTAGTCCGATTTTATAAGCGATGGATGTCTCTTCTGAGGACATTATGGATTCACATTCAACGATGACCTCATCCTCCTTAAATTCAAGGAAGGGTAAGATCATCTTATGAATCTTTTTCCCTATTTCACAACTTAAGTGCAACTGAGCAATATTTGTATATAAGCGTTTAGCAATTAAACAAAAAACATTCCTTTGTTTCAAAAACTTTAAATTGTCTCGTTGCAAATAAATAATTTCATCCCTAGCCCTATTTAACTCTTTCTCCTTCAGCTCAATCCACATCCTTCTCTCTTTTCACTCTTTGAAGACACCCTGCTGAGTTGGCCAGTTAGGTTAGAGTTCGCTAAGCGAGTTTGCATGAGATTACCACTTAAGTTAGAGAATTTAAATTTTAATTCATTTAATTCTTCTTCATAATTTGTTACTGGAACTTTAAGTGATTCAAGGATGGATTGTACCTTTTTGATCAACCGATCACAGTCGTTGATCTTCTCACTCACGGGCTTGGCTGCAAAGCACTTGTCCCCCAGTCACGTTCGGCTCCTTACACTCACTTTCGGTTGGTCTACCAGCTGTAACCATCAAACATTTTCCAGCCGAACTTGTATCCCTCGCCACATAAGCTCTTCCATGTGTGGGCTTCCTCACTTCTTCATCCTCAGAATCGGTTGACCATACTTCAACGCCACCGAACTCATCTTCATCCGCATTTTCCTGCATAATCAAGGCATTCATTGAACTATTAGTTGCCTTCTTTTTCTTGATCTCTTCCAACTTTCGCATGTAATACACTTCATCATCTTCACCATCTCTTTTCTCAGCCATCTTCCTCAGCATGCAATCTTTGGCAAAGTGGTTCTTGCCATGACAGTAATTGCAGTCGAATCCAGAGTCTCCTGCAAGCTTGCTCTCCTTCTTGTCGTCATCCTTTTGAGAAGTATTCTTCGCTTCATCTTTCACCTTCTCAGAACTGTAACTTCCCTGCCACTTTCGGTTCTTATTGATAGGGAACTTCTTTCGTGCAAACCTTTTTGGATTGGTGACCATCATTTCATACTCTTCGCTTGTAAGGTCACATTCAGACTTATCTGACTCCTCCTCTTCTTCTGCAACACTTTTGCTTTTTGAGACAAGGGCCAACGATCCCACACCCGAAACCACCTTCGCCTCCTTGGTTACCACACTCTCATGGGATTTAAGTATGCCCACAAGTTTCGCTAGTGAGTATGATTTGAATTGTTCGTGAGCTTTCACTGTTGAAACCACTGCCATCCATTCTGGTCTTAAACCATTCATGAAGGTTACATTTTGCTCGATCAATTTTCTTTCTATACCATGCTTGATCATCTTGCTAAGGAGATGATTGAAGCGATCGAAGGTCTGTATCAGTTTCTCTTCAGGTTTCTGTTCGAAAACTCCAAATTCTGAGAGTAGCAAGGTTTGAATAGAGTGTTCTAGATCTTCATCGGTTGAGTAAAGTTCCTTCAACCTATCCCAGATTTCTTTAGCCGTTGTGCATGAACCAACTAACCGAAAAGTATCAGATTGCAGAGCGAATCTGATCATTCTCATGGCCTTTACATTACATAACAACTTGTCCTTTTCATCCTATGGCATCTTATCTACGTCCGCCACAAGCTTATTATACTCTTTTTGAGTCTTCACAGCCGTGTTCGTTCCAGAGTGAACAAACGGCCCAAGCGTGATAACTTCCCAGATGAGATAACCATTATCTTCAGATCCAACCACGTAATCTTCAAAGTGATGCGCCCATACTTCATAGTCTTGAGTGTAAAGAATGGGAACCCTTGTAGTGGATCCAATGCTGTTAGAGATGTTGATGTGATTAGTTTGAGAATCTTCGTGAGACATGATGAGCCTTTTCTTAGAACCGCTAGAATCAGACCTGTAAACTTGAGATTAGGGTTTTATCAAACACACGAGTTACCATCGACAGGAAGAAGACGGATTCTATATATTCGATAAAAGCAGAAACCCTAAAGAATTCTTAACACAGAAGGAATGTGTATTGATCACACAGTCTCCCGCTCTGATACTAATTGTTAGAACAAAGTTCTAGTAGGATCGATAGATTCTAAGCAGATAAACAATTAAAGACGTAATGAAGAACACATGAATGGTTTAACTGATGTCGAATGATTAAACTTTAACACCTCAGAAGAGCTCGACTAAGAACTTCGACTATAGAGGTGTTTAGGGTTACAAAAGCAATAATCACTATGTTCACGTTAGTATCTAAGGCATACATGCATGCACTATTTATAGCTAAACCCTATAATAATCACGGATGGACAGGCCCAATCCGGATATAGAATACTAAGCCCATGACGCAACATAACATACCCAACACATCTCCTAAATCAGTTAATTGGTTTATATTGCAATAAACTTCTAAATGTAATGATATAATTGAGAAAAAAAACTTAGTGTCAAAATGAAAATTTGTGGTAATATATTGACTTTCTTGCAATTTGAAACTAGGTGTCAAAATGAAAGTTTTGGTAAACTTTGTGACTTTATTACAATTTGGGAAAAGTGGTTATCGGTAGAAAATGGAGAACCGATCATTTGGTTGATATTGCAACAAAATTGTAAATATAATGACATAATTGAAAAAAAAAAAAAAAACTCATCGAAATTTTATAATAATATAGTGATTTTTTGCAATTTTATTTATTAATAGATTCGATAATCTAAGGGTGAACAGGTGATGTTGTTTTAGTTCTATATATTAAATTAGGGAATCAATAGTTATTAGCTACGAGGTTGTGAATTCACATCTCCCTTTCAACTGATAATAGAAAAAAAACTTTTTATTTCTCATGTCTATCATGTGTAAGTATTTATTCATTGTTAAAAGCAAGTCATCTTTAATAAATCAATATTAATTTTGCCACATATCGATCTCTTATAAATTTTGACACTTGTCATTTTATAGTATTTTTTGAAATAAATAATATCCACTTGTCAATTTATAGTTTTTTTTTTCAAATTTTGAAATTAAAAAACCACATAATGCTTATATTTAAATGTAATGTAATGTATTATATATATATATATATATATATATATATATATATATATATATATATATATATAATGTATTAAATATAGTAAATTTCAATAAATATGTTTTTTTTTCTTATCTTATAATTGTAATTTATAAAATAGTCAATGTTTACTTTTTGATATTTAATCTTGGGATAATGACTTAAAAGGGTAATGAATTTTTTGATTTGTACACATTTAGTCACTGACTTTTTTTTTCGTTCACATTTACCCCTTCAACTTGTTAAACTGTACACATTTAGTCATTATGACCGGCTATTCCAGGTTAGCCGGTAAAAATGACTTAATAGGGTAATATATTTCTCACTTTGTACAAATTTTGTCATTAATATTTTTGTACACATTTAGTCCTTAATATTTTTTTTGTTGCAAAATAAGTCATTTTTGTCTTTGTACTCATTCAATACTTATGAATGATTTCTTTAGGTTTTTTCTCACGACATCTTACGTAGGATAGTCATATCGTGGTGGGATAAGTTGAGGTGGTCCTGCTATATGTTGTAGGGCAAGATACCTGGTGCATGCCAGTTGTAAGCCGTAAGCACGGAGGCTCGAGAAGAGCGGTTGGGTTAAGGCGGCATGCCAACAAACTCTGGGTATTCCAGTCCGATGACTACATGGACCTGTTGCATGTTGGCATTCCAGTCCGATGACTGATTGGGCCAATATATTTCAATCTGATGAGTGTGGGCTCGTTATGTATGATAATACGTTTGTTGTATCGAGTATTTTGGGGGAAACTCACTAAACTTTGTGCTTACCCAGTTGTTTATATCTTCAAGTTATATCGTTGGTCGTGGGAAGACGAAGGCATGATTGTACACACCCATCAACAATATTGAGGATTTCACGTTTCTTATATTACTCTGATTTTCGATAAATGTATTTTGGAATAAACGTTTTTTTCTTAATAATGGATTTATAATTAGGGACTTTTACCTTATTTAAAAATGAAAATTTTTAGTTGTGAAAATGAGACGTTACACATAAAAATCAACAGTCCCACACACTTCATAATGATTGTCCATCGTAAGATTACGTGAGAAAAAACTAAAGAAATCATTCAGAATGAGTACAAAAACAAAAATGACTTATTTTGAAACAAAAAAATATTAAGGACTAAATGTGTACAAAATGATAAATATATTACCCTATTAAGTCACTTTTCCCAGCTAACCTGGAGTAACCGGTCATAAGGACTGAATGTGTACGGTTTAACAAGTTGAAGGGGTAAATGTGGACGAAAAAAAAAACTCAGTGACCAAATGTGTAAAAATCGAAAAATATATTACCCTTTTAATCATTATCCCTTTAATCCTTTTTAATTAACCAGAATAATACACATGTTTCGCAACTTAAAATTAGTAACAAATGAACAAATTGAATAAGATATAACAAGAACAAACATTTTATTACATAAGGAATTCAAGACAAATTTACATCAAACAATATATATTATTCGGTTGAAAGATAAAATATTTTGTATAAATTGAATGAAATATGCGACGATTGATTGATTGATATTGATATACTCCTTCATATCGACACACTATTTGGGATTCCCATTCCTGTAAGTCCCTCTTTGCTAGAAGGATAAAGAAGCGTATATGGTACTTCAACCGGTCCAACTCTATTCTTCAAACTTCCATCATTGTTTCTTTCCACAATCCTCCCCTCGATTTCTCTGAGCTTCATCCCAAATTTCTCAAAAGCTTTCAAAGGTTCCGAATCCATTGTCCAATTAGGGCACCCACTTTGTCCAAGATATACCTCCTCTGCTGGATGACTGGACAAAATCTCTATCAAAGCTATGCCAATAAGCGATTGAAGCTGAGCTGTCACTGTTTTCAAGAAGACATTATCTGGATCCTCTAGAAGTTCATCATACTCTGGGGTATCTGGTTCAGGCATTAAACGACGACTAATTGTTGGACGATTAGGAAGGTATCCAGCATACGGGTATTGCCCAAAATTAACAGCTGCATGAAGAGCAGAAGCTATCCATATTATTGTAGTGCAAGTGTCCCTTAAATTATCACATGTATGCATTTTCGGCCACCATGTCTCATGTTTCTTGTCGCCATGTCCCTCTTCTCGAAGCTCCTTCCACCATGATTGGAGTTCTATGTCATTTTGTACCATATCATCATTCTTGTAGTAGAAGCTACAGTAGTCTTCAACCCATGTTTTGATAGCAAACCAAATTTCAAGACCATCAACACCATATGGGTAATCCTCAATCAGTAAACGGAGTCCATGGGGACTATTTGAGTCCTCAATCGCCATTCCCCTATGAATTAAATGTGTTAAGTCTATTATTATATGTATGTCTAAAACAAGATTATGTTAAAAAAAGATTGCTTATTGTATTATATGAATCAAATACCTTTTAACAAGATCAACAGGGAGTGCTTGGTCAGGGAACACCCAATCCTTGTATAACACAGATGACATTTCCATTGCATATCTCCCTGGGAAAACGGTTGCCTCAAGAAGACCTCCACCATTGATCAAGATTTGTCTTGCGAAGGCATTAATGTTCATAGTATCCTTGAAATGAGGTTGTAGAAGTTTATGAATTGGGTGAAGCACGCTTAGTTGCCTATTAGTTGCAATCACAAACGGCTCAATAGCACAATGCGTATTCAACCTGTGAAGTGGATATTCGATGTTGATAACAATTAATGTTCATATATATTCTAAAAAAAGTAAAAAGAAGCATATTTTTCATGTGTTTTTGAGTGGTTGTTACAACTTACCAGTGACTTATGAGTTGATGAACACCCGAGTCATTCACTGCAACATATGCTTTGGCCAACTGCCAAATGGAGCTTTCAACTCCATGTTCAGATGGAGTGTAAACTTTACTAATGGTACCAAGATCATCTCCTCCTTCATGAGGCAAGCTTAGTTCAATTGCTAATGGTTTTAGAGTTCCATCTTTTTGTAAAAATAGCAAAGTTCGTGTGGCATAAATCTTGTTGGATGTTGCATTTATTCGCCTCACATATGGCATTAACGAATCATGGTGGTCTAAAATATATAGTTTATTGGTCTTGATCGCCTGCATGACCAAATATTAGTAACTTATTAAAATTTTCTCATCATAATTGATAAGCAAATTACAACAAGGGATTGGATTTGAAATTTACCTCTTCTATCTCCAATCCATCCAGCTTTGACTCAATGTGGTAAGGTTTTATGGAACTATTTTGGTTACCATAGACTTTGACATCTAGCTTGCTTGTTGGAGGAAACTCCTATAAAAATAAGTCGCATAACTCATGATCAGTTGTCAATCAAACAAAAGAAATACAACCATTAATGTTTGCTGATCGTCAATTTTTTTTTCATGGAAATGAATATTTACTTTGAGCAGACGAATGCTGACAGGGTTGACACCAGCCAACATTTCTCTTGCAAATTCTTCATCGGTCCTCCATGCAGATTTATCCCCTGATCAGATACCAGTAGAAATGTCTCATGAACAAGTAGAATAATCCATTAAGCAAAATTAAGAATTTTAGCGTATAAAAAATATGATTCCCCATTTGTAGATTTGGTACCTTTAATAGCTTGTGGCATGGGGAATTTCAAAACTCCCTCGCCATCTGTTTGAGAAATTATTCTCAACAACTCTAAATGGATTTTTTTCCGAGCTTTCTCAAGAAATGGCAGCTTGATTCCTCCTTCATAAACCTTCAACACATCTTCAAAAGAATCAAATTCATGAGGAGTGCTATCAATTAGAGCCTCAAGCTCGGAGACAAGGAATTGACCAGTGGACTTCAGTCCAAAACCAAGAAAGTCAGACAACTTCACGTGTCTAAATCTTTCATCTGCTGGAACATATATGCTTAAGCTATTAATAAGTGGAATCCTGCTCTCAGTTTCGGGATCTGTCAAAAACAAAATCTCCATCTCCATTAATTAATAACTCCTAAAAACATTTATAAAGCAATAACTTGATATAAGAAAATCATATCTTAAATAACCTGATTCGGTTGCTGGTCTTCCTGTTCTACCCCTACGAGGATACGGGTACTCAGTTGACCCTCCAAGAACGGGTCTTGCATCATCTAGGTCATGATCTGGATCTCCCAAATCATTGTAGAAGGCATAATCATGAACTCTGTCCCATTCCTTGAGCTCCCCAGATCTATTACCTCTCAAGATAACCAGTTCTTCTTCTCTATATGGACCTAGTAACTCGGGAGTTTCACCAGGTAGATATGCCTACAAAAATATGATAATTGGTTTGTTTAATTTAATTACAAACACCAAGAATATGTCTTTGCAAAAAAATTATATCAAAGCTAATGATACCTTATTTGAAAAGAAAATACGGTCCTTAAGGTAATATTTTGACGGATACACCCATGAATTACAAATAAAATGGACATGTCCATGGCCAGGAACATCGTGTAGAGTGAGGGTCTTAAGGTAAAATTCACTATGGTGACGATTTTTTACAAGAAATGCCCCTGGAACACCTATCTTATCGTCCCATTCGAAGCTAACTTCATACTCGGTGTCCTCCACTGTGAGAGGGGTAATTGTGGTAATCCAGTCTTCCAAGATGGCGGGATTTCCAAGCTTTCCTTTCAACCTCCCTTCTATATATCCAAAAAAAATATATTTCATTTAACAGATTGAACACTATACAACTTGTGAAATATTATTTAGTAATTAATCATGAATTACTGCTAACATCAACTTTAATATCAGGATACCAATTCAACCACTCAGCGGTATGTAAACCGGATATTATTCATGTTCTTGCATGGTAATTGATATTAATCTCATGATATTTAAACATTACTCGGAGAAAAAATATGTGGTTAATTGAAGAATATATACAACTCTTGCTCAACAACGAATGCAAATTTTAGTTATGGTATTTAGTTTTTACAACATGTACAAATTAATCAGCCCTTGCTTACTAGCTAACAAATAATAGAAAAATATAGCATGCTTTACTCAACTATTGTGTAAGAAATTATTTATGATTATAATAATATTAAAAGATTTAGATTCTCGATCTTTTAAACAAGTTACGACCATTGAAGCAATCAAAGCCATCAACATCCAATATATCTTGTACTTTTCTTCAATTTTTGTTGGTAGACATCGCAGTCGCTAATTAATTAGTAGAAGTAAATCTCTTTTCTACATGATATATAATAAAGGAGACTGGTAATATGTCAAGATACTCTACATTTAATAAATATTAAATTATCTTTTTAGTATTTAATTAACTGGTGTAGAACTTGGCACGATTAAACATACATTTAATTTAGACGAGGTTGTATATGTTATAAGATTAAGTATAATAAAATAAAGGATGTTAATTAAGTAACATAGAAATCTGCTTATTCCTAATTGGTTCCTTATAATTATATGTTAATTGTTTCAATTCTTTGCTTTTAAATATATATCATATGGCATGATTGGAACATACATTTAGACGAGGTTGTATATGTTATAATTAAGATCAAGTATAATCAAATAAGGGATGTTAATTAAGTAACATAGAAATCTGCTTATTCCTAATTGATTCCTTATATGGTAATTGTTTCAATATATACTTTGCTTTTAAATATATATCATATGACATGACCTTAAATGTTGATTTTAAAAAGTACGTTCCCTATGATAACCATTGAAGTAAATGTACACAAGTTTCATTTTCATGCAGTTGTGGGCATACCCTCTAAAACTTTATGAAGTATTACTAAAAGAGTAATCAAGTACACTGATACCCCACTGTTTGTGGCAATTTTAGTAAATTACTAGCAATATGATGCAAATTAATGATGAATAATTAAAGACCTGAGGATTCGTGCTCCGGACGAATTGCACTAATGAGCTGGAAAGAGATGTTTCTACCAAACACCTCATGCACTCGATCAAGAACTGATGCACCTAAGTCATTAAAATCCAACACGTTCTTTTTCTGCAAGACCACTCTCCCTGTGATCCTCTTCTTTCCATCTTCCATCATGGCTGCATCTTCTGTTTTATGAAACATGCTTTTAAGGTAAGCCTGTGTGTGTGTGTTTGTTGTTGTGATCACGTGTGTGGTGGTTACAATACAAAAGGTGTAGATGAAGTGTGAAGGTAATGAAGCTATGGGAGAAGGTATTTATAGGCCAAAACATTATAAGTAATATAAAATTATTATGCATATGATCATATCAAACTGTTTAGCAGCCTTAATACGAAAAGCTAGAAGTAAGATTGGAGGGATAACATGACTAGGATAGTTGGGTCAAGAAAAGTTTAATAATAAGGAATGTCAACTTACAAGCACGCTAATTTTTTCCCTTGAATTTATCTTTGTTATGAACTATGGCTGCTTGCAAATTGACTTTCAATATCAACCATGCATCTAGCTTATTGTGTATTGATTTTTCGATTTCTCAAAACGTGGTAGCTGGATTTCTAATGTGAACCAGTTGGGAATTTTTGTTGAAAGTTCAACATGAATATAATTGTATAGTGGATAATGCATTAAATCTCAATATTTTATGTCTTGGTTTTTTGTTATATACATAAATCTCTCATTCATAAACCTTCAAATACCAAGGAAATAGCTACAATCGGTGGACCCGTTTTCTACTGTCACAAAAATGTTAAAAAAAAAAACAAATGTTTATGAAACATTGTATATTGAGAGAGTAAAATACATGAATGGTCCATGTGTTTCGCAAATTTCTCACAATTTTGGACCTAAACATCCAATTTTTCAATTTTGGTTCTTTTTTTTTGGAAAACAGCAAATAAATATATTATAATAAACCCAACATCAAGCCGATGTGGGGAAATAGTACAAATAAAAAGTTTTCATAGTCGAAGAAATTACAAACAATGGAAAGGGCAAAGATTCCACACTTTCCATTCCACCCTTTTGCACGAAGTCCTGTATTTGCACCAAGTAAACGTTAGAGCTTTTATCTTTTCCACTATAAACTCCGGTCTCGTAGGGATATTCTCGAAAACCCGTTTATTTCTACCAACCCATATGCACCATAACGTTCCGCACAATATCACGTTCAACATGCTTTTTTTCTTATTACACCCGTACCACCTTGACACGAAAAGTAACATGTCATTTACCGAACTAAATCGTACGCAATTAATTTCACACCAATTGAGTATAGTATCTATGACCATCATCGCCAGCGGACACGTAGTGAAGATGTGATCGCCCGTCTCCTCTCCCTGATGACAAGCACCACATATCGTAGATGGCATGGTAATCCCGCTATGACAAAGAGCCACTGCAGAGGGAATTCTTCCTTGCTTTGCTCTCCAAATAAATGAAAGAATCTTGAACGGAGTCGCTTTTCCCCAGTCAAATGGTCCATCATTTACCACATGACTTGATAATTCAATTCGCTCCCGTAACAAACATACCCTGAAGCGACTATCTGATGTAAACTCTGATTCCCATCTACCATCCATCAAATTCCATGATATTATTTCATTGGGATCTATGTTTATGTTTTTCAAAAACGTCCTGAGCTTAACAATATTTTTCCAAACCCCATTAACTGAACTGTTAGCAAGAACGGACCAGTGCCTTCTGTCTAATTTGTGAATACACCTGATTACATTTGCCCACAAGGCTGAGCTGTCAGTTTTCAGTCGCCACATCCACTTAGCTAAAAGTGAGATGTTTAAAGATTTAATAGAACCAAGCCTGGTACCACCTACCTTCCTTGGAGAAATAAGCTTTTCCCACGCCACCCAACAAATGCTTTTTTTGTTATATGCTTTACTCCAAATAAACTTTCTTCTAATTCGTTCCAAAGTGTCGATAACCCCATTTGGTACTACAAAAATAGACATAAAGAAAGTCGGCAGATTCCCAAGTACTGCCTTTGCAAGGGTTAATCTACCCCCAAAGCTCAATGATCTCGCTTTCCAGGTCGGCAATGCTTGGAATTTGTCAATGATTGGTCTCCATGCTTTCTTCAGATTCATATTCTCTCCTACAGGAATTCCAAGATAAGTGAATGGGGTGGATGAAGGTTCACATCCAAGAGGGGCTGCCCAATTAACTACTTCCGCCTGGGAAGCCCCAACCCCATATACCTTAGAATTCCTGAAGTTCACCTTTAACCACGACGACACGTAGAAGCATCTTAATATTCGGGCCAAGTTTGCAATATTTCTCCTCGACCATTCGCCAATAAACAGGGCGTCATCTGCGTAGAATAAATGAGATACACAGAGATTAGATTGTGGAAATGTAATGCCTTCAAAGATTCCTTTTTCCACAGCCGTCTTCATCGCCTGATTTAATCCCTCCATCGCAATAATGAAAAGAAACGGAGAGAGTGGATCTCCCTGTCTGAATCCTTTTGACATAGGGAACTCTATTGTCGGGCTACCGTTAATGATTACCGAAGCTCTACTGGATCCAAGACAACCGCTTATCCATAATCTCCATTTCAACCCGAAGCCCATTTGCTCCATGATTGAATCTAAGAATGCCCAACTTACCGAGTCAAATGCTTTATTGAAATCAGCTTTAAAGAGAAGCAATTTCTTGCCTTTCGCCTTTGCCCATGAACATAGTTCATTTACTATCAACGGTCCTTCTAAAATGTTTCTTCCCTCCACATATGCGGATCGAACCTCGTCGATGACACTACCTATGACTCTTTTCAATCTTATTGCGAGCATTTTTGCAATAATTTTATACAAGGAACCAATCAAGCTTATTGGTCTAAAGTCACCAAAGTGAATAGGGTCTTTAGATTTTGCAGCGAGCGATATGAACGAGGAGTTGCACCCTCTTGATAGCTTACCATTTCTTTGAAAATGCTTTACCATCCCCACAATATCGTCCTTCAACAACTCCCAATATTTTTTTACGAATTTGAACGTGAAGCCATCCGGCCCCGACGATTTGTCACCCCCACATGCCCACACCGCATTCTTGATTTCATTAATTGTGAATTCTTCGTCCAAGAGAGTGGCGTCAAATTCCGATAGCTTGCGAAACCCCGGATTGAAAATTTTTGGTCTAATTTGCCACCTTTCTTTGAATTTATTTCCGAAAAACCTTACAACCTCCTGTTTTATTTCCATCGGATTCGTAACCCATGTTCCATTGCCCATTATCCCATGTATATGGTTTTTCCGGTTCCTGTTGTTGACATAAGTGTGAAAAAACCGTGTGTTTTCATCACCCTCCACCTCCCACTTTAATTTTGCTATTTGTTTTAGATTCATAGTAACCGTTCTCTCATGTTCATCAATCTTGACCCCAATGATAGATCTTTCTTCCAATTCTGCATCCGTGAGAGACCTGGATTCCGCAATGAGACCTGGATTCCGATCTGCCACCTGGATCTTTATGGGGGATTTCAACGTCGTTAGAAGCCCAGAAGAAAGGATAAACTCTGAATTTTGCTGGCGGAGCGCGAATTCGTTTAACCGATTCATTCGTGAATGTGAACTCACGGACCTGAAGATGGGAGGTCAAAGATTCACATACTTCAGAACTCTGGGAGCGAAACTAAGTAAGTTAGATCGGTTTCTGGTTTGTTCCAAGTTTCTATCTGCATATCCCCTTGCCTCCTGTTTTGCTATGAATAGAGATCTATCAGACCACTCTCCCATTGTGTTGAGGGCTTGTTGTGAGGATTTTGGTCCCCCTCCGTTCAAGTTTCTTAATTCATGGTTGTTGAATGATGATTTGACGGGGTCATTAAAGATGCATGTTCGGTATTTAGGGGTTATGGCTCTCCCGATATGATTCTCCTTCATAAATTAAAATATCTAAAAACGGCTATTCAATTTTGGTTCTAATTGGGAATTTTATTTTCAATTTTGCAACATTTTCTAGATGGTATTAAATATCATTGTTTAAGTTGTGTATGTCTATAGCACATAAGGGTAGTTTCGTCATTTCCCATGCATCTTATCTTCATTCTTGACACAAAATTGCGACAATTTGCTTCTCGCTTGACTACATTTTCCCTAATAATTATTGTATCCATAAACCATATAATTTATTATCATCAAATCTTTTGTGGCGATTTGCATTCATGAAAGAGTAACAGTTATTTACACTTTTTTGAACAAATTAAAAATCTATTGACAGATTTTACTATGGGATATATACACTAAAGTCCTAATATTTTCATCGATTTAACAAAAAATTCCTAAAATTTATTTTTTTGACAGTAAAGTCCTAACTACCGGCAGTTTTTGACACTTTTATCCTTTTTTCCGGTTAGCCGGTAATTAGGACTTTTTTTGTCAAAAAAATAAATTTTAGAACATTTTTGTCAAATCATGAATTAGGACTTTACTGTAAAAAAAAATAAAGTTTGGGACTTTCTTGTCAATTCGTTAAAAATATTGGGACTTTAGTGTATTTTCGTAACTCAAGAACTTTTAATTGTGACTTTTGTTGCAACACCACTATTTTTCTTACCATCGTCATCTTTAACCTGATACAATCACGATCAGGAGAAACATACGCAAAAGAGAGAGCGAGAAAGGGTGAAAAGACTTGTAAAAATTTCTTCTTGCTTCGCCGCTAAATTTTGAACTAAAAAGTGGGGATAAATTATACAAACACAAACAACACATGCCTAGTCAAAAGGGTGTGAATGTGGAGAAGGGATACGAAGGACAATTTCGTTTTTTTTTCGGTGGTCTCCATTTTTGGGGCTGCAAAAAGCCAACATAACCTTGGTTCTTTCTTTCTTTCTTGATTATCTCCATTTTGTTCAATGTCGGTTTGTTGAGATTAAAAAAACTATTTAACAAAAAGCAAACGTTAAGGATTTCAATAGGATTTAACTGGCAAGAAAATGTTTCAATAACTCTTATGTTTAAAGAGTATCATACCATTAAATTTCTAACAAAAAAAAGGATATATACACTAAAGTCCCAATATTTTCAACGATTTGACAAGAAAGTCATAAACTTTTTTTTTTTTATAGTAAAGTCCTAATTCACGATTTGACAAGAAAGTCCTAAACTTTATATTTTTGACAAAAAAGTCCTAATTACCCGCTAACCGGAAAAAATGGTAAAAGTGTCAAAAACTGCCGGTAATTAGGACTTTACTGTCAAAAAAATAAAGTTTAAGATTTTCTTGTCAAATAAATGAAAATATTGAGA